GTGGCCGTGGCTGCACCGAATTCCCTTCCCACTTTTGTGTGTGTTTTCTTGTGTCCGTGGCGATATGCCCGCACGTCCTCTTGCAGAGTGTGTGCGGTGTCGGCGGTGCCACAGGGGTGCGGACCGTAGCGAGCGGGATGCGTGGGCGAACCCTCCGTGCACACCACGTTGCTATTATTGTTTGCTCTCACCAACACTGTGCTGGGTGGTTGGCACCCGCGCGCCGTCGTTGCGGCGGTCCTCGTGCATGTGGTGTGTGTCGCACACTGTGTGGATGACTCTCTTGCTGTGGCTGCCCGTGATGTCTGTGCCTAGTTACCCCATCTCTCTCTTATTCTCCTCCTGTTTGGTGGTTAGTGTTCAGCTTTGACTCAATCCAACTAAAAGAACAGAAGGAAGCAATGCCTGGAAATCAAGCGTCTGCTGTGCCGCAGGGAGATATTCGGAGGAGAGCGAGGCCGGAGTCTGAGGGTGACACAGGTCAACCCGCTGCGACTCGCGGAAGAGTGGAGGATGTGCGGCGATTAATGTGGGCTCTTGACAGTCGGGTGGAAGGATACACGCCGTGGGAAGACTACGAGTCTGTGTACAATGCGAGGTGGCATCATGTCATGGAAGTTCCTGGCGGCGAGGGGACGGGAATGGAGGTGCATGAGGGGGAACCACCGCGGTCATGGACGTACAAGGCAGTTGGCCGAACCCTCGAAAAGGATGACGGTGTGGAGCCATCCGGTGCACCACGTCTCAGGCTGATGGTGCTTACCTTGGACAAGACATGGTTGTTCTTGTGCGGGATGCAATTAACGACTGCTATGTGAACTGTGAGGTGGATCGAGTGTGGCAGATTGTTAAGGGCGATCTCACCGAGTGGTTCAGCAGTCGTCCTGAGGACCACTTTACGCCTCATCCGCGTGTGTTGATTGGGACGCCCGGTATCGGGAAATCGATGGCTGCCGGTTCGTACCTCCTCTACCAGCTGCTGCACTACGATGCGGAGCTACTCCCTGTGGTTGTGTTCGTTGTTTATGGAAGTGAGGCATACATGTTTAACAAGACCGCCGAGACGGTGACAAGTTACATGGATATGTCCATGATGATAAAAGCTGTGAAGGAACTGTCTCGGCGCGGGATGAAGGGGTATATCATCTACGACGTGGGAGGCAGGTTAGATATTCCGTCTCCTTTTTTGCCTCCCGGAGGCTGGGGCATGCTTGTGGTGGCAATGCCAGAGACAACAAGTTACGTACACTGGGCGAACGAAAAGAGAGCCGTACGAATCATAATGAATTGCCCCGATGAGAGCGACGTGAAGGCAATGTGCGTTTGGATGAAGCGCAATCAGCCTCCGCCGCAGCAAGCGAATACTGGCGAGAGGTGAAGGGTCGCATGGACAAACTGGGACCTATTCTTCGCCACATCTTTGATGAGGGACGTTATAACAATTGGATTGCAAAGTGCCACAACCTTGTGGATGGAACGACCTCTTGGGGAATCCAGCGTTACTTTGTTTTTGGAACTTCCAAACTCTGGGAGGATAATAAGGTGCTTGAATATCTTGCGAGGATTGTCCGAGCACGAGGAGAGCGCAATGGCGAGTCGCCCTTCAATGCACCGATAACTGCCCACCTCGCAAGTAAAACACTGTGCAAGTTGGCACAGTTAATGACGCAGGCTGAGTTTAACTTATTTGTATCGAGGATCAGGGATTGTCTCACGCACGCAAATTTTGGGAAGTGTGCCATGTTTGCATTTTTGAATGTGGCCTTCATGGCTGCAATGAGACGTAAACTGAAGGAGCTGAAGCCCCCAACACGACGTCCGTCACACCGCTGTGCGCCGGACGTGCACTCACAGGAGGGCCCCACCAGCCACTATTTTTTGCCGTCGGCGGAACGCATTGGCAAGAAGACTTGTATAAACCACCGGCTGCTGTACATACCGGAGGTCGAGAATTTTCCGCTGGTGGACGGCTTTTTCTTTTCGGACTCAAACCCAATGACGCTGGTTGGGCTGCGGATGACTACGGCGGGTGGGCACCACACCACCGCCAGCACTGTGCGGCAGTTCACTGAGTGCCTGGCGGCATATTTTAATGGCTGGAAGAAATTATCCCGAGACATGTCGTGGGAGATGATTTATGTGCAGCACGCAGACAGCACGCCGTTGAATGACTGGCAGAGATGTGATGTTGTAAATTCCGATAATGTGAGCAAGAAGGAAAGTCAAAAAATTGCGGCGTTCTGGGAGGAGAAGCTGCGCCAGTACCAAGTGTCAATACCATCCAGAGACTTTGGAAGAGACGAAGCGCTCCGGAGCGAGGAATAGCCGCCGAAATAGGAAAACAAATTGGGGAGGGAAAGGGGCAGTTTTGACTTTTGGTGAAGAGATATTGTGAGATTTATTTATTTTTTGATAATTTTGTGTGCGTACGGTGCGGGCGCACCAGCACAAGACGGCAGTATATCGCACACAAACGCCAAAAGTGTCCAACACTATCGAACATAACAGTGACAGAAGAAGATTATGGAGGGAGTGGGGTTGTTTGTTTCTGGTGAAAACGTTGGGTGGTTTTTATATAGTATGTTGATTGTGTGTGCATACGAGGCATGATTGTAGAATTGCCCGGTATGAGGGAATCATTGTGTTTGGCGCTGTCGCAGTACTACTGCATTGCTTGTTTTCTCTATTGTGTTCTAAGGCCCATCACGAACAGAAGCATCTTAGCGGGATGGACGAAGGATAAGTTCTATTGAGGAAACAGTGCATTCCCTGTGGCTGCATGGAGTGAGTGCCGAATCCCATTGATGGTGAGACGGCATTTTCGTGCTGGCGCCAACATTCCTTCCTCCTGCGATTTTATGCTTGACTGCAACATGGTGCCAGGGCCGGTTGCTCTGTATTATCCGGGGAAGCCAGGAGCCAGCAATGCTTCCCTCATGGGATTGTTGTTGCTGACGCAGGGCTGACGGCATTGACCAGCGCCCGGACCGGCCGCGTACTACTGGGGCACACAGTTGTAACACCACGAGGTCTGGGGGCAGGTGTTGCCGTGCCGTCTGCTGTCCATCGGATTTGTTTGAGAAAACGCAAGAAAAAAGAAAAACATATTGTGTACGCGTCCTTCGGGCGTGAGACAGGCTTTTATGGGTGGGTGTTTTTTTATTATTTTGTGTTTGGCGAGTCACATATTGGAAGCTAATGCAGCGTCCAGAACGGCTTTATCATTGCAGTAATTATTGAAAGGCGGAGTGCACTTCTTACCACGCCGGCGTATTGGGACGAAAACACGAAGCAAAAGGTTGCGTGTATGGTTTTCAACCGACATGCGACGCGTTTATGATTTTGACTCTCAATATTTACTGCGGGTGGTGACGTTATCTCCAGTGTCCGGCTTTATGGCGTTGGCAACGAATTTATTTCAGAGTTCGAAAAGAGGTCTGATGGAGTATCATACATTCTTGCTTCTGTGCGCCTGACTGGGCAGATGAACTGGATAATGGATGTGGAGAGGAGCCGGAAGGAAGTGGACATCGCCCTACGGACTTGCAGGCCCAATGGCAAGGTTGATCTGCGTACAAAACGTGTGCGTAATTGTCCTGCTTCCAATGAGGGGCTTGTTAGCTGTTTGGCAACTTAACCGGTACCGAGCGGAGGGACGAGTACCTCTGCGTGAACGCAACCGTTCATGGGGCATTGACAGGCGCGGGGCGGGGTGTGACGTTCGAATTCGCTGGGGCAGGAACTGAGTGGCTTGTCGGCAAACTGGCGCGTAATCAGTTGTGTAAATTTGTGAACAGCATTTCCACTGTTTTGGCGACAGCGAATATCCACGGTGTGTCAAAGGAGGGCAGCAGTACTGTGCTCTTGGGCCTCTCGTAAACGAAGGACAGGAGGTGTGAAGTAACATTGAACGGTAAGAGTTCCGGCGTTGTTAGACGATGATGGTCGGTAATTTGGGAACATCAAACAGAAGGTAACAGGGTGGCCGTGAGGGAAATGTGTGTAAACGACGAATGGTATGTGTACGTGTTGGTGGGAAGACTATTTGCGAAGAGGTCTATTCTGGCTTTTTCCTCAATTCGAGTAGGAACTCACACGCCTCCACATTGGTGGGGAACAGCAGGATGACGGGAGAGAGCAGTCCTTTGACGGTGCACAACGTTTTTTTTTTTCGTACATCCGCGAACTGGCGGAGAAGGACATCGAGAGACTCATAGCCAGCAACGTCACGCTTCTAATACCACCTGCTGCTGGCAAATCAACCACGGAGTTGGAGGGTCACACGGTATCCGGCGGTGCTGTGAAGGCTACGTCCGAGCGGAGCGTTTGAGGCAAATTTTCTTTAACGATATGTGGGCGGGTGCCTAAATGTGTATCCATCCGCGGTTACAAGGTCTGCTTCTCAGGCAGGAAGGCACAAGGGGCACTATTTCTGGGAATGTCTCCACCCAGGATACGGTAAATCCACCATCACTTTATGCACCCAAATTCCCCAATACCTACAGAGGAACAACTGCAAACCGACGAAGACGAATCAGCAGACAAAAAATGCACGAACACCGCCTGTAACGGCAACGAAAAGCGATGAACTCATTGATGCTGGATTATCCTGTGGGGACCATATCTCTTCCACGACGAAAGATGAAAAGAAGGAAAAAGGGAAGGTGGTAGCGAAAGAAGAGCCGACTGGTGATGGTGAATCGAGGTCGCCGCAGCACGAGGCCACTGTGCGCCAACTGCGGCAAGGCAATCCACTTACGGCTGAGAGTGAAGATGTGCCGTCCCATGTACCTGAGACCAGCAGTGAAAAATATACGACTGACCTCAAAAGAAGAGGACGCTGCTCGCGAGACAACAGTGGGTTCAGATA